CTGGGCCCCGCTGCTCTGGTCCAGCTCCGAGTGTAGGCGGCCTGGGCAGCGGCGGCTTCCGGCCGGGGGGCGCGGGCTGTGCCCGGCGGATCGGCGCTGGCACGGAGGCTCCCGGCTGAGGGGATGTGGGGTTCCCCATCCTCCCCAAGGCAGGTTAGGCCAGGGGCTGCCCCGTTTCTCTGTGACCTTCTGGGGGCGGCCCCGGCCCCGGCCCTGCTCTCCCGGCGAAGTCCCGGCCCAAGAAAGGGCGCTCAGGCATCCCACCGGACAGACGAGCCGCCGCCCGGCCTGTGTCTGCGGCACAGAGCCTCGGAGCCGGGTGGGCGGGCGCACGGACATGCGGGAGGGGACAGGCTGCCGGGGAGCTGGGGGTCTGACAAGGAGTCACTGTCTGCTGTACGGGTGACACTCCAACGCTGTCAGATGCTCTTCTTTTTCCTCCATCGCCAGAACAGGTGCTCCTTGCACTCAACAGAGACCACAAGATGCATCAGTCTTCCTCCTCCTGCTTCCCCGAGAGTAACTGAAGTTCTGTTTGCTTGAGTAATTAGTGGGCAGCAGATTCTGGTGTAACATGATCTGTGGAAGTAATCTATTAGTGCATTGAAATGATGATCCGCTTTGTCGGTATACATTTCCTCACCGTTCTTACAAATGGCACTGGATTGCTCCCAATGAAAATTCTTTGTTTGCTTTATCTTGAGCGCTTGATACAACTTGTGCATAGGCTGTTTCATTATAGCTTCCTCTATTTGTGTGCCTTCACATCACAACAGAGGAGGGAAGGGTTTTAGGAAAATATGGCTGTCAAACTATAAAATCGTCAGAGTGACTTGGTGAGTGCAATAAGTGGAACTACTAAGTTTCTTGTTATAACTAATTAAATTCCAGGTTGTATCCCTTTTAATAGTCAGGTATGATTGGCCCAAAATCTAGGTTAACAATATTGTAGATGTTAAGTAGCTAGTAAACTGACAGGGATACATGTTAGCCTGTACCCTGGGGAATTCTTAGTAAGTCAGTTCTTTGTAAATCACAAATAGTCATTTTAATCCTCTCAGAGAGAGTACAATATCTTATGGCTCTGCTGGGCCCCACTAATGAAGAATGAGGAGAAAGTCATTTAGTATATTTCTGCTGTAGGAAACTGAGAACTGACTTTTTGTTGTTGCTCACCAAGAAGAGTGGCTGTAAGAAATTGGAAAAAATACACACAAGGGCTACAATGAAACTAGATGACTTTTTTGGTTCACATTTCAGTGTTTGGAGTGCTCATTTCAAAGCAGATGCAACATTAAATATTTTGTAAAGGAAGTAAAGCTGGTTTTAGAGCATTTATTAATTGTAGAACATTAGTGCAGACACACTGGTTCTAGACCAGAGGTTCTCAGGACAAATATTTTGGTGGCGTCAGAGTGCGGCCACCAACCCTTACTGGTGGTCGCTCTCACGCTTTTTCCTAAAATACTTAATTATCTTTAGGAAAAACAAATAAATGTGCACATATACGTGTCCAAATCATTGTAATTTATTTATTGCTAGCTAGTAAGTCTGCTGTGAAAAGTGATATTAACAAACATACAAGTATCACTTTTCACAGCAGTCTTACTTAGCCCTCCCAAGCCTAGGGACAAATTAAGCCCTGGATGGGGGATCGTGAAGGCAGTGTGGGGGTGGAGCCTGAAGCCCCGCATCCGGAGTCTGGGGCCTGCCGCCGCACAGCTGGAGCCTGGGGATGGAGCCTGAAGCCCCTTGGCTGGAGCCGCGTGCCCCGCCACCCCAGGGCTGAAGCCCAAAGCCTGAGCCCCATCGCCCCTGGAAGGTGGGGATCTCACCGGCTGCCTGGTCCTCCCGCATTGTGACCCAGGTTTCTCCAGAAGGGTCAGGACCCAACCCTGCTGGCAGCCCCAGCAACCAACACCAAGGCGGTGCATCCAGGCGCAACAGGGAGAGGGAAGGGGCTGCTACTTTGCCTCCTCCCCCCACCCCCAATCACAGCCCAGGAGACTGTGGCTGCAAGAAAAGCCCCTGGTGGCCTCGTGCGGGTATGGTGGCTGCATTTGAGAAATGCTGTTCTAGACAACTTTTGTCTTCTACAAGCAATGATAGGTTTTGAATAGCAGATACCTGAAAATGGCAATGTCCTTGCAGCTGCGAGTGACTGCACATAACCATATGGGAGTTGTGTAGGATGATGTGATCATTTCAAAGTGTAAAAATGTTTGAGCATTGCTGATATAACGGCAATAAAATGTAATGGGCATTTTTATAACAAATTGTGATTACAGTTTAAAGGAATTAGACG